TGAAATAAATCACATGGTGGGCTGTGGGTGCATGGTTTTGCTGGTCGCACCCATGGCAGTTAAGGACCGGTTCGCGGGATGCCCTGGAAGAACTTATCGTACTTACCACAAGCCAGCGTGGGCAACGGCTGGGCTTGTAGTGTAGTTCTCCTCTAGCCGACGCATCTAGGCAAGGGTGGGCGTGATGGAGCGGGGCGGGCCCTGCGACGGCCTCTGTCGCTTCCGGATTCACCTAGGCACGAGAGGGGACTGCCCGCTGCCTTGCGAGGAGTGGGGGTGAAACCTGAGGTGTGGTGTGCTTGGTTAGAGGGGGTTATGCGAAGGGTCCTGTCACGGCCTCTTTCCGGTATGTCGTGGTGACATGTCGGCGCACGGTAACGTGTCGTGGGGCTGTGTCTTGTGGGTACAGTTGTACACCTCTGATCAGAGTAAAACTATTCGAATAGCCGTGCCCGCGGTTATGGGCGGTCAACCAGATTCACCGTGATTAGTCTCACCCTAGTGTAATCTTTTGGAATTTGGATAGTTTAGGTGGATGGTTGGGCCTGTTGCAACGTGGGATAACGTTGGACAGTGGATAGATAATACTAATTAAATATTACAACTGTTTAATCTTTCAACTTCTGTTTATAAATGCTCGCTTTATGCAAATGAACCACTTTAGCTCTTCTTTGATGATTCCCTGCATCATGCCTCTATTCCGGTATGACTTGCTGAGTACAGTGGGTAGTACTCAGTCTTGCTCTACTTTTCCCAACCCCAGAGTACGAGAGTGTGTCAGATGAATGTTTCTCCGAGGAGTAGGCTTCGTCCGTGCCGTCGAGGATGCCTGTGGAGTGGTGTTCCCGTTGCAGTTCTAGTCAAGGCGTAGCTCCTGTCGTCTTTCTTTTCTTCCGCTACATTTGTGTAAGACTTTTATGATGTTTGTAAGACGTGGATCTGAATGTCAACATTGTCGTTTGTGTACCCCGGCCGGTCCTGGACGGGGATTTTAATGCACATTCTGCTTGGAATTCTACTCGGGAATTTCTGGGCGTGACATTGTTCCCTTCGGTCCTGGCATCTTGAGCACTTGATACGCGTAGTGAGATGCGGCCATGAACTTCGCGAGTGCAGTTCTCCCAATGATGGCATTGTATGCTGTATAGAATTTAGCGACATCAAAGGTGATCTGTTCCGTTCGGAAGTTGTTTGCTTGGCCGAAAGTCACAGGCAACGTAATTTTGCCCAATGGTTTGGACGATGACTGAAGAGTGATTCCATGGAAGGATTGATCAGTGGGTGTCAACTCGCTTCGTGGGATCCCCATCGCGTCCAAGGCGCTGGCGAAGAGAAGGTTGATTGAGCTGCCGCCGTCGATCAGGACTCGTGCGACCTTGATATTACGAATAGTGGGTTCGACCACGATCGAATATCGCCCTGGGATGACAGCAGTCTTGGGGTGGTCCTCTTCTGAGAATTGTATCTTCTGCTTGGACCATTTCATCTTGGGCGCAGACCACTGCCACGTCGAACAGACTTCACGCTCCACTTTCTTGTATTTTCGCTTTGAGGAGTATGCCGTGGAACCTCCGAAGATGTGTGAGACATGGAGATCGGAATCTGGGTATGCTGAGTCCGATTCTCGAGTAGGCGCCTTAGCGTCCTTCTCAACCATGCGTACTCGTTTGCCTTCTTTCGATGCCATATGTTTTGCGAGCGACTTTTTGAAAATGAGGCAATCTTCTAGAGAATGTATGTCCGACTTGTGTATAGGGTACCATGCTTTTTTCGTGTCGCTGCCTTGTGGGTCTGGGCGCTTGGGAGGGTCCGCATATTCTGTTGCGAGAACTTCTGATTGAGCTTTCCTTTTTCCACTCTTGCGATTTTTCTTCTTGCTTGACTCAGGTGCGTCCTTGGCTGGTTTCTTCTCTCCTTCGGTCTTCGGTTTGTCGTTCTTGCGTCTCAGTGCGTCATCCGCATGAGCGCATCGATCGACAATTTCGAATAATCTCCGAGTAGTTGTGATGCGCCTCGTTGCCAACTCCTGAGTAGTATAGCGATCTCTGACACCGGATTTGAAAGCGCAAATTACAGAAGCGTCGGTGATCTCGGGGATTATGTTTCTTTACTCGTTAAAGCGCCGAACATAATCCCTCAAGGATTCGCCCGGATTCTGTGTCAACGCATGTAGGTCATCTTCGATCGCGTGGCGCTTGTAAGTTCCTTGGAAGTTGGCTACGAACTGCTGCCACAAGTCTGCCCACGAAGAGATCGAGTAGGGGGGAAGATGCATCAGCCATGAACGTGCAGAGCCTTTCAATGCGGTCGGCAAGTAATTCACCAACGCGTTGTCGTCCGCTCCGGCAGCGTAGAGTACTGTGGAGTAAACCTGAAGGAACTCTTCTGGGTCGGTGCTCCCATCGTATTTCTCTATTGCTCCAGGTCGGAATCTTTCAGGCCATCGGACATCCCGAAGTGAACGACCGAAAGCTCTACACCCAGCGCTGGGGGCGGTGGGTTGTCGGCAATCATACGTCCTTCGTGGATGTCTATCTGATGATGGAGATGACGAGGATGATGACGATGACGATGGGTCGCTTGGTTCCGGCAAACGATTACGAGGACGTCGGCCGGGTTCTCGAGAATCTTGTCGTCGTCTCCCGTTGTTGTCTCGGCGCCGATCTCCATCATCGTCGTCATTATGGCGACGTCCTCGACCAGTATCGCCCTGCACCCGTCGTTCGCGATCGTCGTGATCGTGGCGGTTATCACGGTCTCGGTCTTCGCTTGAACGGCCTCCTCGATCTTCATTATCATGACGCCGTGAAGAGACATGACGCCGGGAATGGTTCTCGTTGTCTCGTGTGCGTCGTGTGTCTCGGTGGCCATTCAGGTGATCGCGGAGATCGCCGGTGCCGCGAGGTGGAGGGGTGACTCGATGAGGCGATTCCCGCCGTTCAGGGTTTTCACCATTAGCATTGCCAATTGGTGGCTATTCTGGGTGCGCTGCGGCAGTGGCCTCTTCGAACGCGTTGCTGAGGTTGGTCACTGATTCTCATAGTCGTTCTGTCCAACGTGCGAGATCGTCGTTCAGAACGGGATCGTATGGGGTTTCCCTCAGTATTGCGTTGACGGCTCTGATGAGCTGGGCCGGAGTAGTCACTTGATTCTCCGCTTCCGCATTGGTGCGCGCTGACGTGCCGACATCGTCGATAGCCAATACCTCACGCGGCGTACTCGTTGTCGATGATCCATAGTCTTTAAGCAGGTGCAAGACTAATGGTTCGTGGGGATCGATGTCGATTACCCCAACAAATCGATCTGAAATCGGCGTCGCTACTTGTTCCTTGTCTTTATCCCTGATGGGGATGCGTGACTGCTGGACCTTAGGAGGTGGCATCTTCATGGCGCTGAGAAATACCTTGCAGCTCGAGAGGCCGTGATTCTTTGTCTTGTGAATAGGACAATGGACATCACGAGTTGGAGAGGTACGCTGAATTCCACGCTCTTTGCAGGCACGAATTTCAGCATGAACGTTGAGAAAGACCCAGCAGGCTTGCAGGGTGTGTTTCCTGGTTTTGTGGATAGGACACCAGGACCTTGTCACCTCGGAAGTAATCCTCGTCGGCTTGTGATTCATGTTGGAAAGACAAGGCTTGGCCGCACTAGGATCCTTCTCAGGCTCGGATGTTGTCGACGTTCCGATCTCCGCTTCGGCGGGTGGATTCTTCGACATAGAGTCGCCCCGGGTTGTTGCCACTGCGTTCTCGTTTCCGGCCATTGGCGGACCAGCTGAGATCGGCACTGTGGTGTAAACCGGAAAGACGATTTCACCGACTTGAGTCCACACCAGTGTTGTTGAAGTAGGAACTCCTTGGTTGAGGTTGGTGTTGACGCTGTTGTCGGTGAAGCTGGATGTCATGGTAGTAGAACCTTGAGCACCAAGTCCCCCTACCTGGCGCGCCACTGTCGACGGGGGATACCCGTAGACCGGATATAGAGGGTATTGGGGTACGCTGGTACGAGGATCTACGTAGTACGACATCAAGCAAACAGGAAACATGGATTATACTGGTTCAGGCCCCTTGGTAGGTAATAGCCCTAATCCAGTTGATATGGGATCATATGGTGGAAACCACAGATTACAAAGGAAATAGTAGAACTCGACGATACCGACGAGATCGTAGTCGAATTGATCCGACTAGATCTCCCGGCGACTTGGCTCCGATAAGCTCCGGCTTCGTAGGCTATGGTGGATGTGTTAGCTCTGAGATTCGATGCCTTAGGTCCTCCCGGGGGTCCCTTTTATATCGCATGTCAACTGTCTCCATGTAGGACTCGGAGGAGCCGGACTGAGCACGACACAATGACAACCCAGTTCTGACCGAGTAGGACTACTTCCATCTGTGAACTCCATGATGAATTTCCTTAACGTATGCCGAACACATCCATATACGCGTGAGCATACCATGTCGATACGTGACGTATATCGAAGGGTAGAGGGTATACCTTACCCGTAACCTGACACAATTAGCTTTTGATTAATCAATGGTGCTGATTGAAATTTATTTAGTCTCAAAAGAATTATAGAAAAAAAAACAGTAAATTGTTGTTTGGGCCACTTTGGATACTCTAAAACTAATCCGTTTACTTTGGATTGGGCACGTTTGCCATTTTCTCGGTTTGGACCATGCGTATAGGTAAGGAAGTTGACTGTTATACCGATACCGATTCAATTGAGGTTGTTAATGGATACCATTAAAGTTGTTCCAAACCGAGAAAATGATAAAGTCACCTAGTATAAAGTGAAAAGATTGGTTAACTAAGTGTGATCCAAAGTGAAACTTGGATAATAAAACATGGCTAATTTACTCGGAAAAAAGAATTCATGGCTAACTAAACTTGGAAGATGGATGGATATTTCAGCGTTAAATGAAGTCAGTGGACGGTCCAGATCGATCAGAGGAAAGAGAGGGCCTCGGACTACTACTCCTCCTATATCACTGGTTCTTTCTTGCAAAGTAAGTCGAACACAAAAGAAGGGGAGAAGGGGAAGGATAGATAGATCGCCGCCGCCGCCGTCGTCTCCGCCCCTCTCCAGCCACCAGATCCAGCGACCATGGGGCAGGGCACCCCGGGAGGCATGGGCAAGCAGGGCGGCGCCCCCGGCGACCGCAAGCCTGGCGGCGACGGCGACAAGAAGGACCGCAAGTTCGAGCCCCCCGCCGCCCCCTCCCGCGTCGGCCGCAAGCAGCGCAAGCAGAAGGGCCCCGAGGCGGCCGCTCGCCTCCCCAACGTCGCCCCTCTCTCCAAGTGCCGCCTCCGCCTCCTCAAGCTCGAGCGGGTCAAGGACTACCTCCTCATGGAGGAGGAGTTCGTCGCCGCCCAGGAGCGCCTCCGCCCCACCGAGGACAAGACCGAGGAGGACCGATCCAAGGTCGACGACCTCCGCGGCACCCCCATGAGCGTCGGATCCCTCGAGGAGATCATCGACGAGAGCCATGCCATCGTCTCCTCCTCCGTCGGCCCCGAGTACTACGTCGGCATCCTCTCCTTCGTCGACAAGGACCAGCTCGAGCCCGGCTGCTCCATCCTCATGCACAACAAGGTACTACTGCTCACCCCCCATCGCTTTCCGCATCGATCTACTTCGGTTCATACACATACTTTAGGCCGGCCTCTTCCACATAATCAAAAGTATTAAGATCTATCTATCCCCATTAGTTGCCTACAATTGGGGATTTGCGTTCAAATCAGGTGGATTTCACTTGCTCAAAATGTGGACATATATAAACTTCTGAAACACCTGATTTTCCGGACTATAAGCATAACGACAACATACGGAATTGGGGATATTATATTTTATATTGTTGAACTGATAATTCATTCAGTAGAACATCATACTATATGTTTTATTATGGATCTGGGATGTGATTGAATTGAGTTTTTCTGCGATTTATACGGCATGGGCATAGGAAGACTGAAAGGTTAAATGATTTTCTTCTTTTTTTTTAAATAAAAAAAGTTCCAGGAGAACTGATCATGAGTGATTACAAGATGATGATACAAACACCATTTGTCTCACTGGTCACTGCCCAAACTTCTTGTTTTTTTTTGTTTGGCAATTTGTTTTCATGAACCAGATGGCTGTCAGATGCCAATGCTTGTATAAGGCTGCTTTTCAGGTGTAAACAAACATCCTCTTGTTTCTACGACGTGTTTGCAGTCTCCTATTCTGCTGCCTGTCTCTTAGGCTAGTCTATGCTATATGATATATCGATGAGCCATGTAGAAGGCTGAGCTAGTTTCAACTGTAGAACATTGAACCACCTTAATGTCCTTTCATTAAAGGTTTCTTCGATACCCAGTTGTTTCACACAGTGAAGAACCACAGAGCATTAAGATCCCTCCCCATTTGGTTGATTGGTATTGAGGATAATTTCTGCTCAGACCAGGTGGATTTGGCTTTCTTTTGGTCTAATCTAAATTTATCGAATCTGTGGCTAAACTAAACTTAAATCTTATCAGTTATCATGCTGTCCTTCTGAAAATTTGTACACCCAATTTTCACAAAAACCTTACACTTGCACATATGAACTTCTGTAAACTTTGATACATGATTTTTCACACTAGAAGCATAGCAAGGACATGGGGATTGGGGTTTTGATTGTTTATATCGTTGAGCTGATAATTCAGTACAGCATCATACTCCCTCCGTCCCATAAAAAAATCAACTCCTAGCATCCCGAGGTGGAATTAGTGGAGATGGAGAATGACTAAAATGCCCTTAATCATTGGAAAAAGTAGTAAGAGTGATAGGTAGGTAAAGGGTATTGAAGGGATAAAACTTCTTGTTTTAAAATGAGCTGAGGGTAGGTAGAATGATAAAAGTTGGTTTTTTGTGGGGCAAAATTCGAACTCTAGAAGTTGAGTTATTTTGGGACGGAGGGTGTATCTGTTTTGTTCTGGAACTAGAATGTGACTGAAAGTCATGTGTTTCTGGCATTCTGTGATTTGTTTGGCACTGCCTGTAGAAAGACTGAAAGATTAAGGCTTTTCCTTTTTGAAATCCGGGAGAACGGATTATGAATTATGACAAGGTGATAATCCAAACACCAGATATCTCACTGCCCAAACTTGTTCTTTTTGGGGGGCAACTGTTGTGTTATGAACCTGATGATTGTCATACAAATGCATCTATATGGGTATATTTTGGGTGCAAAGCAACCTTCTGCTGTTTCTATGATGCCTTTGAAGTATATTATTCTTCTGCTTCTATCTTAGGCTAGATGTGTTATGATATTTTGAGGAGCAATACAGAAAGCTACTTTTCAACTATAGAACATTAAACCATCTTCATACTATGCTGTGATTATACTTCCTCCGTTTCATATTATAAGACTTTCTAGCATTGCCCACATTAATATATATTAATGAATCTAGACATATATGTGTGCCTAGATTCATTAACATCTATATGAATGTGGGCAATGCTAAAAAGTCTTATAACCTGAAACGGAGGTAGTATTATACATTTCCATAGATATGAATATCATTTTCTTATGATCGAATAAGTGACTCAACCGTACATCCATGTGGCTAGTAATTTTAATGCTCTAGCAAGCTTGCTCACTAAATCCCTATTTCCAGGTTCTGTCTGTGGTCGGAATTTTGCAAGATGAAGTTGATCCTATGGTTTCTGTGATGAAAGTGGAGAAAGCTCCGCTGGAATCCTATGCTGACATTGGTGGGCTAGATGCTCAGATCCAAGAAATCAAAGAGGCAGTTGAGCTTCCTTTGACCCATCCTGAGCTATATGAAGACATTGGCATCAGGCCACCCAAGGGAGTCATATTATACGGAGAACCTGGAACAGGGAAGACACTACTTGCCAAGGTTAGTGTTCTGGTTTGCGTATTGGGAGTCAATATAGCTTATGGCAGTAATGCAGGCTTCAGCCCTCCATTTATGGCTTGTAATAATTAAGCAAAGCATTGCACTATTTGTCATTCTGTACCTCTCAGTTCTCTGACCACTGATTACTTGCATTGTTGTTGCAGGCTGTTGCTAACTCCACATCCGCAACTTTCTTGCGTGTTGTTGGAAGTGAGCTTATTCAAAAGTATCTTGGTGATGGTCCCAAACTAGTCAGGGAACTGTTCAGAGTTGCTGATGAGCTTTCTCCCTCAATAGTCTTTATCGATGAGATTGATGCTGTTGGAACAAAGAGGTACGATGCTCATTCAGGAGGGGAGCGTGAGATTCAGAGAACTATGTTGGAGCTTCTTAACCAGTTAGATGGTTTTGACTCTCGTGGTGATGTCAAAGTTATACTAGCAACAAATCGCATCGAAAGTCTTGATCCAGCATTGCTACGCCCTGGTCGCATAGATCGGAAGATAGAATTTCCTCTGCCAGATATTAAAACTAGGCGGCGCATCTTCCAGGTAAATATCCATTAGTATCTTTTAGAACTTCAGAATGCATGATAACTGATAAGCAGTTCCTTTGGTTCTCATGAATGTTGTGAATCGTGCAGATACACACATCTAAGATGACATTGGCAGATGATGTGAACCTGGAAGAGTTTGTCATGACCAAGGATGAGTTTTCCGGTGCTGATATCAAAGCAATATGTACTGAAGCTGGACTTCTTGCTTTGAGAGAACGCCGAATGAAGGTATGAGTGAACCTTTTTGTCTCTAATTGAAATAATCAAACCTTTTATGAGAGCCCAATTTAGACCGTTTTGTCTACTGACCTATATACCAAACAATGTCATTTTTAGTTTTTCTATATGAGTATGTGATACAGTCATACAGATAACTAGATTTTTATTTCATTATCAGCTCGACCTTTCAGCGAGATCATTATGTTTTGCTCTGAGCTTTTATAATGTGCTCGCTCATTGATTATGTCTGGAAGAAACAATTTGCATGGTCCTCACTTCCACATTCTTACCGTGGTGTGCTGTTTTATGATTTCACAGGTGACACATGCTGACTTCAAGAAGGCAAAGGAGAAGGTGATGTTCAAGAAGAAGGAAGGTGTGCCGGAGGGTCTTTACATGTGATGTGCTCACTGGTCGCCAGTGACGGGGTGGGTAACCTTGTAGGACGAATATATATTTGATTTATCACATAGGCTATGCTGCCTTGGTTTGTAAAATACTTGTGAAATTTGTTTTGTTACTTCTTGGGATGGAGTTGGATAGAACAAATTGCATTTCTCATGATTTGCCTTCTCAAGTACTGCACTGAATAATGAACTGTGGCTAATGTAAATCGCATTGGGGTCGTCACGATCGCGGCATGCTGAGCCTGAGATTGATTGAAGGGAGCAGCGTCAATGATACACGGTTTGCCCTCACGCTAGTGATGTTATAAAGTTCAGTGTAGGCGAGAACTTCCCAAAACTGATAGCAGGTTTACATGCTCTAAAAGTTAGAACGGCTGGTAAACAAGATATCATTATCATTTTCTGCTTAAAGAAGGTATCACCGGCAATTTTTCTGTACAACAGCATATTTTTTTCTGCTAAAGAAGGTATCATTGGCATTTTTCCGCACAACAGCACTGGGGATTTTCTCCCCTTTTATTTCCATGACTTCATCAGTGAAGCTTGGCGTTGATTGGCACCACCAACCATCGTAGTGCAACTCAATAATATCTTCAGAGTACATATACTTTTCTTGCTTCATACTCTTACATAATATTCTATCCACTTAAGTCATGCTGATCTTCATGTACAGTTAAGTTACTACTCCCTCCGTTTCAAAATGTTTGACACCGTTGACTTTTTAGTACGTGTTTGACCATTCGTCTTATTCAAAAAATTTAAGTAATTATTTATTCTTTTCATATTATTTGATTCATTGTTAAATATACTTTTATGTACACATATAATTTTACATATTTCATAAATTTTTTTAATAAGACGAACGGTCAAATATGTGCTAAAAAGTCAATGGTGTCAAACATTTTGAAACGGAGGGAGTACAATAGTCTCGAGCTATTTACGTAAGGACAACTAGAATGTACTCTTCAATTTCAGCATCAAATATAACAGCTCTTGCTAGTTCGCTACGGATTGTTTGCTACCCATACTTTGGCACCGAGAGAGAGGAAATGCAATTGCTTCAACTTCACTGCCTGCATTTGCTTAATGTTTTAGTCTCCCTTTGCAAAGTTCAACGAATGACTTGACTTCTCGCATCGACGAATCAGTCACTGTCACTCCAGCTAACCTCACTGTCAATGTCGTAGTTTTCTGCGTGAGCCTGTTTTACAATGAAGTATCATGGTAAGTTGTTGACAAGAGCTGTTCATTTAGTAACCGTAGTTGAATCATTCTTACCTGACGAATGTGATCAACCCTCTGCAAGATTGTAGCCACTTTTGTGTTCCTGTGATCAACTGTCACATTTGAGCCTCTTTCAAGGGCAGGCTTCAGATCGCAAGACTGACAAAAAGTACACGCCTTTGTCAGAATAATCTAATGTAAGTAGTATTAGTTGCAGGAAATTAGGAAAACGATTAAAGGTTGCCATTGCCGTGCACCACCTTGGCGTTTATTTGTTCAGGTAATTTGCGTATCTCTCCTGAAAGCCTTCTTGAAGGATATATCAAACCTGGAGCCGTTCTTACCTGCAAACATCAGGTAAGTTTTGTGCTTAATGTACAGGTCTGCTTGCAGTTGCAGAAAGAAAAGCAAGAAATAATAAAAGAAAAAGGGAAAAAAGAAACTGTACCGTGCTTCTATCTTGGACTCCAACCTGAAGTATAGAATATTTAGGCCTTGGCACCGGAGGAGGGTTCATCTTTGTTAGCTGTTCTACTGCAGAGAAAAAAACACTTTCTACGTGCACATTAGTATTGCTCTCTCTGTCAGTAGGATGATCCAGTGAGTTGTGCACATCAATCTGTGGTCCATTGCTATAGATAGGCCCTTCTGTGGTGGCCCTGAGATTATTCTTGTTGTTGCAATCAGAATCTCCATTACCAGTTTGGTGTATTTCTTCTCGTTGAGGTTGTATTTCTGAATGTTGTTCAGGCGGAGACTCGTCTGACTGTACCGTAGGCTCACAGACCTCCTCCGTAGTCTTCAGAATTTCACCTTCTGAAGGCTGAATGATATCCTTTTCTTGATGATTAATTTCTTCAGAATCCTTCCCAGGGAACCCATATCTGCAGATTCCATTTCTAATCGAGATAACAGCTGCAGATTTAATATCAGAAGCTGATGTCTGGGCTATCTCAGCGTGTGAAGCCAGGATGCCGAAATGGCCTCTCGCCTGAACATTGTCAGTTTCCAGCTGCTTTCTTACCGGATGCGAATAGCTTCTTCCAGCTGCATGGTTTGGTACCGCTGGTGATTGTGGCCTAAGTGTTTTAAGTCTTGGAGATGATGCAACCCTTGATCCTGAATGAACCTTGATTGATGATAACCACTGCATCGGAGGGAGTGGCGGCACCATATCTTTCCCAGGACCTTCACGCTCTAGTTGAGAAAATCTTGTAGTGCTGCAGACCTGCGGAACGGGAGAACCATTTCGTTCCTGACGTACAACAGATTGATGCAGTTCTTCATCCAACAATTTGTCATAAGATGCTTCAGATGCATCGTCAGAGTGCTCCTGTTTGCTTTTCTTATCCGATGCAACTTCAGCAAGTGCAGGAACATCTTCAGAAGAAGCTCTCGTGGCGTGCATATACCTACGCTCTGTTGATACGTGACGAAAGGGAGCGTCAGGAGATGGATGCTCACCGTTTTCACTTGCGAGCAGTTCCTCTCTGTTGATTGATCCCATGCCATTGGAATCGTTGTCTCGAATGTTGTTGCATTTCAGCTCAAGAATCTTGCTAGTCATGTTCCGGAAGGAATCTGCCACTGACAGTGGATGTGGATCTTGCTTCTTTCTGAAGAGCTTCCTGGGAAAACTGCTGACCCTTGAGGCGATGAACTCCATGCCACCTCTATACTTTGACCTCACAGCCTTCTTGTAGGTGTTGGAATCGTCCTTACAATTGCCATTGTTGGTTGCACCAATGGCATCATTCGGAGTGACATGATTGACGAATCCATTGTTGTTGTTACAACTGTAGTGAGGCATTTCTTCTGCTATCTGATCATGCTGAATATTATGTGCATTTGGAGAGAGCCATGCCTCGAATGAACTAGTCCTCTCGAGCTCCAAGTTCCTCTCTTCACTGACTGAATCTGTACCTGTTGTGCTTGCTCCGATGTCTTGTGTCACCTTGATGCTTGATTCAGGCGAACAGTTTGAAGATATGTTCAGCTCAGATGAAGAAGTCTCGTTCTGAAAGTTGTGCATTTGAGGCATGGGGCTTCCATTCGTCTGTCGATATTTCAGTTGTCGGAACATGGATAGGAATCCATGAGATGCGTCCATTTCAGGCCTGAAAAGAGCACGTTTGGTTGATAAATGAATACCAGGAGAAGATTGATGAGAGAAAAAACAAAGAGGGGAAGGGAAAATGTGGGTTACATAGAGTCACTGCACTGGGATGCCTTCTGAGGCCTGGAGTTGTCTGAATCTGAACACTGAAATGTAGGTTTGGTTTCCTGAAGAAAGGAAAGAAGCACCTGTCAATCTATTGTTGCAATATTATCTCTGTTATGTGTATGTATATTCAAAATGCTTGTGCATTTCAATTTTGCTAGTAGCAACACAGCCAAGACACATGTTTATAAAGCTTAGGACAGAATGTGAAGACAGTCGTATCTTTTCTCTAACTCTTGAGTGACAGCAACCAAAATATGGAGTCTGGAAATGGTATGAGTCTCTGTTTTAAAATAAATAAATAAATAAATAAATAAATAAAAATATGGAGCATATTGTTACCAGTAGTAGCTTTGGAGGTTGTTTTGCCATGTGGATGCGTTGGTGGATTAGTTTGGTAGAGCAGGCAGAGTGAGAGGTGAAGAATGAAGGATTAGTGTATCTCTTCAAGCAGGCACCCTCGCCGTCAGCATCGTACCTATTTAGTGAGAGCGATTAATCAACAGAGAGTTGCATATGCCAGTTGAGGAATTATGGATCCTTGGTAGATTAATTAAGTACTAGTAATACGAGGGACAGTAATACTTGTCAAGGAGGGACAGATTGGGTGGCCCTCTGCATCTGTGGATGCGGTCAAAGATAATGGTAGGCAAGCTGTTGTTTCCTCCTGCAACGAGCCCCTGCTTCAGAATGAGATTTGCGCGCCAATGGACACGGCCTGCGACACAAATGCAAGATACAATTACTCTAATTCAGTGGTTGTGCGCCATATGACAGAAGCTGGTCCATTATGTAAAAGAGTAATAGAAATCTTAATTTGAACTCCGGCCGGCTGGTTAGCTGGCTGAACAGATGGAGTAGCATATGTATGCAGTACCTATGTTGGAAGCAACGAAGAGGTAGTAATCTTTGTGACAGAAGAAGGAAGAAGAAGAATCTTGTGGTGCTGCTACTGCTGGTGGTGCTGCGTGATCGAGGTGGTTGAGGCGCAGCGCGAGTTGGCGTCGTCGTGTGGATAGAGCCATGACTTGGTCGTGCATGCCTTGGAACACCTCCGCCGCCAGCCTGACGATTATATCAGCATGCATGCATGATTATTATTCATGCAAATATCTACTAGTGTAGTGTAAAAATTAGCAAGATGGAAGAGTAAGTGATTAGAAGAACACTAGTACGTACTGCGCGAGGTCTCCGAGCTGGCGGAGGATGGCGACGAAGCCATCGACGACGACCACACCACCGTCGTCGTCGTTGCCTCTGCCTCTGCCACCCATCCTCAATTCCTCCTCAACCCGGTCCCGGCCGCCGCATAGTCATAGATAGATATAGATGAAAAATTTCCTCCTCCACTTCTCCCGGCCCCCTACTACTTAATTACTGCATGATCTGTACTATCTAAGCTAGCTACTGGAGTAGTACAAACTACTCCAACTTGCTTAATTTGGCTCTCTTTAACTAACTAAGCAAACCTAGCTGTCAGCTGCGCATGCATGAATTAGCTAGCATGAAGGTGGATTATATTGAATGGGAGGGAGCTGCATGAAGAAGCTAAGCTGAATTATTTGCTACTCCTACTCCACAGCGAGGAACCTTTGCATCGGTGTTTCGTTTCGTCGGAATGAAGATACCACAACTGACAGTATACCATGACGTTGTTGTTGTTGTTGTTGGTATTGGTAACCACCGATCGATGGTACACTTCTGTACCGTACCAGTCATGCTAGCTAGTCAGTTAGTACTAACTACATGCTCCGTACTAGGAGTAACTAATTGGTAAAATTGGTTATATAACATCAAAAGTTCACTTTTTTTTATAGTACCAATTTTGTCTTTGTTTTTACTAGTTAAAACTAGTTTTTTAAGGTAAGAGGGGAGTAATAAGCTAGCTAGCTGTAACTTTATTATATACTATCTGAGATCAGATCTATCCCTGAGTACGTCGACATGGATGGATGGTTACGAACATGACAAATCTGATTCACAGGCAGATGGATCGGCTGCACGCATCAAGACAAGATCAGTTAAACATAGTATACAGGATGGATGGACCGGCTGGACATGCATGCATATGCAGGTAATAATAAGTCACTGCTACTTAATTTGCTAGCTAGCTACCTGTATACCTCAGTGATCGTGAACACCAACTACACCCTTTTTCTTCATATTATTTTAGTACTTCTTTTCAAGGATATGCATAAGCTTTGTGTATCTTTGTATTAATTTGATGGTTTTATTAGCAAACTGCACAAGTGTAGAAAAAGAGAGGGGAAAAAAAAGAAAAACAAGGCAATATCGGTCGATCATTTAGTATTTTAGCAAGAGGCGCAAATTAATCCAAAAGGCCCAGTTTAGTTTCCACACAAAAATTTTACACCCTGTCGCATCGAACATTTGAACACATGCATGAAGTATTCAATATAGGCTAAAAAATAACTAAGTACTTAGATTGCGATTACTTAATTTACGAGATAAATCTTTTAAACCTAATTGCTCCACATCTCTCCGTGCTTCCATCCGAACACATGCTGCGTGCACGCGCCCCCCACCTTGAGTAGAACCACCATGAGGAGAGAAGCGCAACAATTCGCTAGCAGAAGGTGCCGGGCAACCGGCTCCGTCGGCTAGGACACCAGAGGCACCAACACATGATGACAATGTTGGTCTCAAAGTAGCAAGATGATACTTGTAGCAAACACCAGGAAATGGAAAATTGAATCCAAAGGAGATCGATGAGTGGAATCGAGTAGAGGAGAGAAGGTGCTAGCGGCAGACGGCTCGTCAACCGGCCAAGCAGCAGGCCTATATGACTTCTCACCATGCCTTGATACCTGGTACCAATAGGGTATTTGGCTGGTACCTATAGGTTGGTACTAGAGGTACCAAACGGCCTGATACCTTAGACATACCGACAAGGATAACACGCTATACACGATGTATCTGGGCACAATGACGATGAGCAGCGGAGCTCATGATGGTCGATGTCTTTCCGAATAGCCTTTTCACTAGTTATCGTTCTATCGCCATGGGAGCCAGATCCAGTGCGCACGAAGCAATTGTGGAGTGAGAATGTAGGTGGATGAGTAGGGTCCTGCGAGGAAAGGGAGCAACGATGAGCTATTTTTGCTGGCTCGAAGGAGGGAAAGGACATGAAGAACGAGGACAGTGGAGACGCAAGGTGGAGAGCAACTGTGGCGCCCGTTCCGTCGTGGCGCCTAGCGAGAAAATTAAATTCTTAAAAACCCTAATTGCAAAATTTGTTCTTTGAGTGTTGTCAAGCATCCGTGCCATTCCGGATCTCAAAATCCCCGATCTATCGTCAAATTCAAATCCCGAATCCAAATCCTTCCCAAATCAAATTCCTCCGCAAAAGTCTAATATGCCTCCCCGTCGTTTGGTGGGCCGATTCTCTCTCTCAGCCTGCTCTCTCTCCTCCCCTCAGCTCCGTCTCTCTCTCCCTCGCTCTGCCCGTGCGTCGCACGCGCGCGTGCGCGTGCGCCGAGCCGAGCGCTCTCCCCTCTCTCGCTCTCTCTCCCCGCTCCATCCCTGACGAGCTCCCCGCCCGCAATTTCGAACCCGCGCGCCGTTGCTTCGCGCGCGCGCCCGCGCGGTCGCCGCCGTCGTCAGCCGCCTACTACCCGTGCCTGCGCCGTCCGGCCCCGCGCCCTGCCGAGCCAGCGCGCGTGCCCGAGCCGCGCCGCCCGCATCCGTCCAAAAACCGGAGACAGCGCCTCCCGCTCCCATCTCTCTCCCTCCCCAAATCAGCATGGCTCGAGCTCCCTTTCTCCCCCTCCGTTTTCCCCGTTCCTCTCTCGGCCCGGCCTCTGTTTCTCCCGCTCGGTTCCAGCGCCATGGACAGGGAGGAGCGCCTAACGCCGAGCCATCGCCCATGCCGTTTGACCCCGCGCCCGTGAGCCCGTTTCTTCCCCTCGAAACTCTCTCGCCCCAGTACCGCTCGAGGTCGGTTTCCTCTCCTCCCAAACCGACATAACCACCCCATAAAAGCCGCCCCTCCCCCTCTCGCTCGATTCCCCTGTTTCGCTCCAAGCCGCCGCGCCATTGCCGCCTCGCCCGTGCCCTGCTTGCCGTCGCCTTCCACCGTCGCGTGTGCCAGAGGAGCCGGTGCGCGCTAGGAACCGAAGGGGACTCCGGGCACACGTCTTCCTCCTCTTCCCCGGCCCGAGGCCGGAGCGATCACGCCCCGCGCCGTCGGCCATCGTCACTGCGCCCTTCACCCCGTCGCGGTAGTGCACTCCCCGTTCTCCCTCCTCGTTCCTCCTCCTCCCCCTAGCTTTCGGTAGTAGCACGAGTAGACCCCCCGTAGTCAGCTGGCGCCGCCCCAAGCCTTGCCGCCGCCCGCTGTGTGCTCGCCGCCGTCGCCGCCCGAGCTCGGTAGCGCCTCTCGTCGCCGGCCTCCCTCGGTGCGTTTCTGTTGACAGAAAACACGAGGCCTGGGAGATCTGCTTAACTCCAGTGCAGGTCCAAAGCTCGTCTTCGAATGTATGAGCGTGCCAGTTGATTTGATCCTGTAATCAATAAGAAATAGAAGCAAAGAAACCGCAGTTAAATCTATAAATGATAGCCGATCGGCTAGGTGCCGATGACATATCATTTATCTTTGAGCCGATGTCATATATGTATCGATCGGCAGTCATTAATAAATAAGGAAGGACTGAATCTACTCGATCGGCTGCAGATATTACCAATATATAATCTTTATAGCAATATATACTTAAATCAAGTGATTGGGATAGATCGGTCGCCATGCCGAGACAGTATAAATCACTTAGATCGAAATATATATTAATAACGAGACTATATACGTTCATAGCATAGCCGATAAGATAGATCTAGCATGTATTGGCTAATACTCCGATACCATTCTATATTAAGATATTAAAGCAAGTAGAATATACTAAACAAAAGCCTAATATACTTAAATGCAGCAAGATCTTAACGTAAAGGGCAGATTTAACATGTCAATCAAGCATATAGGATAAAAAGTAGTTAAATCAGGTAAGATCGGCTGAAACTCCGATACTACCCTAATCAGCAACCAAGAAGCGGGCTAGAGATGGAGATTCTAATCACGACTCATAAGATCAAACTTAACTGATGCAGCTATAAGTATGAAAAGAAGGACAATATCTAGACAATCAAGCTGTTGGATGTGTCATAGAGTGGTAGATATCCTATATAATGTAAGTCAACATCGGTATTTAACCTAATCGGCTGCCTTCTATTGACGGATGTTAGCCGATTGTAGGTTGGATATCAATATTGCCAAGGATTATGTAGGATATATGATAACTCGACGAATTACATAAACAAGATTAGAGTGTCATAAAGATGGAAGCACTAATCCCGAGAACGCAAACTGCCATAACAAGTTTTACCTCTTGTTGAAGATCGAAACCGATGCAGCTCAACCCGAAAGTAAGAACTCGTCGAAATAAAACTAAAGCAAAAAAGGGTGGCGATGCGCCGAGATTGTATTGAACATGTGTGTTAAAAGTTACATAGGGCTCGGGCCTATTTATACCCGAAAATTACAAGATATGTCCATAACGGACACGACTACTATCTCTAACAAACTCTAAGATACCATAAGTCTTTGCGGCAGACTTTTGCCCAAGCATATCTCGAAGGAAATTACATAAAACATCCTAATTAATAGATACAATTGCCTTCTCAGGACTCTATCCATGTGCGGCAATCACCTTGAAGCACCTCAATTCAACCCGATGTCATACATCAAGTTCCATTGTTGGAATCGGCTGCATCGACTTACCTAGCCCGACTCAGACCCAACCGATCCTAATTGTAGCCGATCTGGACTCCAGCCGATTCCTGCTCTGTTTCTGAACTTGATCTCCGCCTCCGACTTTGCTTCGATCTAATCTTCTTTCCCGATGCCGATATTACCAAATTTGGTTGTTAACAATTTCCTCCTAATCCAGCGCAAGGAATGGATTCCCGGAGTCGCGTAGATGCTCTAGTGCGAAGGAATCGAACTCCCGTCGCGCCGTCGCCATTTCCCCCTTCTCTTGCCGCCGGTTGCCGCCGCCGCAATCCGCCGCCATCGCACTCCCTCCGGCGAATCCGAGCCGTTAGCTTGTCTCCTCTAGTCCCGCGCTACCTCCCGGTGTGCTCGCCCTCGCCCGCATCGCCGTATATCGCCCCGCCGCTCGCCGCCGCCGTTCGCCGTCCGTTCGTGGGCGCTTCGTCGTCTTCCTCTCGCTAGTCCGCGTGGCGGCCACGTAGGTGCCACCTCGACCGCGACCGGGTCAAGCTGACACCGGTCCGCCGCTCCCCTCCGCCCCGCTCGCGCGCGCGGTCCACCGCGAGCCGTGAGGCTGCGCGTGGGCCCGCCGCATCCACATCCCACCACGAACCGCGCGCGTGCACCGCGCCCCCTCCGAACCCTAGCAACGCGTCGCGTGCTCCTCGCTCACGGTGAGTCGAGCCGCCGACAAGCGGGTCCCACTCGGAACCACGCGAGGTACACCCGGCCCATGGGTTCCCCCTCCCTCTCTCCCCGCGCGTGCCCTTGGGCCGCCTTCTCAGGCCGGCCGGCCCATTTAGCTCGGCCGAGCCGCCCTCTCCTCTCGGGCCGCGCCATAGCCACCCGAGGGAAGTCTAATCTCCCTCCCTCCTTCTTTTCTTTTTCAAAAGGGTTTAA